CTACCACTAGTGACAGGTAGACACGGGCCTGGGGCCACCTGCCCCATCATCTGTGTTGGCTGAACTGACTCCTCAATCTCATGAGACAACTGATTTGTAGCAGTTATTTCCAGGAACCAGGCAATCTCCTGACTTCACCAAACCCACGAACTGTTTTGGCTTTTCAGAGACACACTGGATTTGACATCTTTGGTTCTCAGGAGACAGGCCACCGGCCACTTACCAGCAACAGCCAGATCCCTAAGAAGGCTGGGGAAAGCCCTGCCAACAGCGGGATCTGGGACTCAGTCTACCCCCTCAATAAAATGGGAAGATTGGACTAGACCAGCAGCAGCAAACACATGGCGTGAATACCGCCACCCTGACTCTTCCATCCATGGCGGACACCGCTGATCAATTACCGCTCGTCTCCGTGGGACCCCGGTGCAGCCTCAGAATCCTATTCAGCTCAGGGCTTCACGCAGCCCCTGCCAACCAATTCGATGTGGCCTGTGTCATAAAAAGCATCTGTCCTCTCGGCCATCGGTGATCTCCAAGCGCCCCTCCAGCTGTGCCGACTCAGAATGGCAACTGATGGGGTGTCTCGGGAGACAGACCACCAGATCGCCAGCTGTCCCCGAGGCTTCCCAGTCCGCCGCGCTGCCCCTGAGCGGGGCCAGGGCTGAGCGGTGCCTTATTAATTTTCCTCACTGCTAATAAATGTGCATTGCGTCAGCTCCGTCCTGCCCCCTCCTGTTCTCCGGCGGCCGCCGTCAGCGGGGACTTTTTCAAGAGCCGTAAAAATAGTTTTTTTGAGGAGCCTGCACAGAGAGGCAGCCAAGCCTTTTTGTTCCCTTTCTTTTCTGAGGGAATGGGAGAGATGGGTAGGGAATACTTCACAACGAAGGAATGTGCTCCTTGGGGAGCTGAAAGTTGTTTTCCTTAAAATAAAATAAAGAAGAAGTTATCACACGCTGGTTTCACATGGAGCCACAGAGCGTCTGTGAGGCTGGGCAAGGGCTCCCGGGAGATCACCGGCTTCACCCGGGTCTCGCTAGGCTGCTGGGTGACAGCTGGGTCCTGAGGAACAAAGCCCTAATGAGCCCCTTGCTCCCCACCCGACCCCTGGCCGGGCCCGCTTCCCTGTCCAGTGGGCCTGATGGCTCCATGAGAGAGCGTGTCCTGCCTGCAGTGGAGGCGAACATGGAGGAGAGCTGTCTTCCTCAGAGGGGATGTGCCTTTCCCCACTGTGCTCTGGATTTTGAAGGGACAAGACAGATGCTAAGAGGCCAGGGACGGGAGGGCCCTGAGGTACATAGGCTTCACCTCCTCCTCACTCTTCCCATTTTACAGATGAAGAAACTGAGGCTTGCAGGGGCTGGGGCTCAGGGAAGCAGGGACCAGAGGGAAGGACATGTAACTGGTCCCGGGAAGAGGAGGCTTCTCTCGACTCCCAGACTAGCAAGTCCAAGCTGCAGGAACATTCGAGAGCGTTCGTCGAGCTCCTCGAGCCTGAGTGACATGTGCCCCTATCTTAACAGGGAACGCACTGTCCCAGGGCCCGAGGACATCATTATGCTCTTATGCTTCCGGCTTTCAATTCTGATGTAACTGCAACCCCAAACACATTAATACATTAATACACAAAACCACAATAATATGGATAATACGGTTTTGCTGAAACAGAACCCACAGGGCATGGGAGAGGAGCAGAGAAGAACAGCAGAAGGCTCTGGGCTTCCGGTCAGAAGCCACTAGAAGGAAGGACTCTGGGGGCAGTTAGTGTCAGGGGGAGAAGGCAGGACCTGGGGTGGGAGCACCGCGTCTCCTCCCCCAGAGTGTCAGCTCCCGGGGCAGCTTGTGCTCACTCACCGCTGCACCCCAGCCTCAGTGGGCGTTCTACACGTGTGCCCTAGACTGTCAGAGGTGGACCCCACTGGGGATGGGAATTGTCTGTCCTCAGTGCTTGAGCTCCTGACAGTAGACACCTGGTTTTTCTGTCTCAGTCCCATCGAAGGCTCAGCCTAAGATCTGTCAAAAGAACGAACGGCTATTGATTAGAACTTACTGTCTCCTCTCCATTGATCAGCCAGGGAGACCCAAAGTCAGAGATAAGAGAGTGAATTCAACACGACCACCAGTTCTCTGTGGTCAGAGCAGCTGTTCTTGTGACGCAATTTAGCTGTCTCTGGATCTACTAGTTTCTTCTACCAGAGCAGCTGGTTGAATAGCTGAGCAAGTCCTGGTCTACACCAAGCAGTGGGCCTTCCTTCATTTAGTAAGTGCTTATTGAGCGCCTACTGTGTACTAGGGACTGGAGGCTGGGGTAAAGCAGCAAGCAAGGCAGGCAAAAATCCCTGCCCTCATGGAGCTGACATTCTAGTGGGGAGACAAACAAACACAATGTGTGTACCCTAACCACCTCTGCCTTGGCCCCTGCCACTGTGGCTTTGTCCGGAAGGAGGACCGGACGCCCGGAAGATGTCCGGTCTATCTGGTCTAATTAGCATATTACCCTTTTATTAGTATAGATATAGTTAGATGATGGTGGTTAGTGCTTGAAAAATTAAAACAGGGAAAAGGTAGAAAATACTGAAGAGGGAGGGCACAAATTTTATATGGGGTGTTCAGGGAGGGACAGCCTTACTGAGAAGGTAACATAGAAACACCAGACGTGGGTGGGGCAGTGAGCCATGAGGCTACCTGGTGTAGTGCATTCCAGGCAAAGGGAACTGCCAGTGCAAAGGCCCTGAGGCGGGAGGGATTGCTGGGTAGTCTGAGGCGTGGAAAGGAGCGCAGTGTGGTGGGCGCAGAGTGATTGTAGGGGCGGGGGTGGGAAAGAGCAGAGGGGATGAGGTCAGAGAGGAATGGGGGACCAGAGGTCAACTTTGGCTCCCATTCCAATGTTCCCGTTTGCCTCGGCTGCATAACAAACTACCCCACACTGCAGTGGCTGAACACGCAATGCAGTATTTGCTCCCACGATTCTGTGGGTTCACTGGGCTGCGCTGGGTGGTTCTTGCTCTGGTTCTCCCATGTGGTTGCAGCCAGATAGAGGCTGGGGCCGGAGGCATCTGAAGGCTCCACCCACAGGCCTGGCGCCACGGAGTTCTCCAGGTGGCCTCTCTTTCCAGCATAATAACCAGGACTTCTCACGTGGTAACGAAGGGCCCCAAGTGGCGGGGATCAGCCAGGCCCCTAAGAGCACAGCATTGCTTCCACTTCTGCCGGCTCCATTAGCCAAGTAGTTGCTAGTCAGCCCAGATCACGGGGGTGGAGGAACAGACGCCACCTCCCTGGGATGCCGGGAGGAAAGAAATGGATGGTATCTCCTAACTGTGGTGGGCAAACTGCGGCTCGTGAGCCACATGTGGCTCTTTGGCCACTTGAGTGTGGCTCTTCCTAAGCCTTAGGAGTACCCTAATTAAGTTAATAACAATGTACCTACCTATATAGTTTAAGTTTAAAAAATTTGGCTCTCGAAAGAAATTTCAATCGTTGTCCTGTTGATATTGGGCTCTGTTGACTAATGAGTTTGCCGACCACTGTGGACCATCTGAGAAAAAGCAGCAAGTCCCTGGAAGGTTTGTAGCAGAGGAATGACATGACATGTCCTATATTTTAACAGGATACCTGGCCAGCTGTGTGGAAACCTGGCACCTGTTTGCTCACCCTGCCAGGCTCCTCCCGTTGCTCACTGAGCACGTCTTTCCGCCCTGCCCCTCACCGCAGCCACGCGCTCTGCAGGGAACCTGCTCCATTCACAGCAGAGCACATGCGCACTGCTGAGGACGGGCACCCGCAGGTCTCAGAGAGGAGTGCTGAGGCCTCCCTCTCTCCCTTCTGTAGCGCCTCATCCGGCCTCTGTCGCGGCCCCAAAGACTCTCCGTTTTCCATAATTGGCAACTGGCATGACCACACGGATATCAGAAGGTAGAGTGAAGACCAGAGAGGAGGAGCTTCAGGCCTGGATGCCTCAGCACCACCTCTGGATCCAACATCCTGATGTTTAACGGTGCAGCGTGGGTACTCTCACTTGGGGGCCACCAGGCGGAGGGTATTCTACTTTCTGCTCCCTCCCGTGGGTGGTCCTGCCCAGGGCTGCTGTGAGTACACCTCCAGGGGGCGCCGATCACATGCATTCTGTTTCCTTCTGCCAGTCTGCTTCCTATTCTTTCTCCCTGCCTCGCATGGGCGACACACCCCCTTTGGAACCATCTGAACATCAGAAAGAGGGACTCCAGATTCAGGGATGTAGAGCTTAATCTCACCTGGCCGAGAAGGCAGCGATCACTGATGCCACCCGCAGAGCTGTCCTGTCCCCACCCACAGAACGGCACCAGCCTGGATGCCAAGATCTGGGGTCCATATGCCTGAGACTCTTGAATGTCCAGAGGTGGTGCCTCTGCCATCTGACCTTTTCCTGGAAGGAGCTGGAGTGGCACCTGGCCGGTCCAAGGGAGGCCAGTGGCTTCAGTGGAGAGGTGGGCAGCAGAGAGCTCACTCAGGCTGGCAGCACATGCAGGGAGAGCCAGGCTGCCAAACAGGCCAGGCCTATATGTGGCCCAGTTATCTCCCTCCTTCCCTCCCAGTGGCAGTGAAGCACATGGCTCAAAGCTTAGGTTTTGGAGCTATTTGGCTTGGCTTCAAATGCCACTTCCATTATTTCCTTTCTGTTGGCAAGCTTTTCCTCGAGGCGCTCCATCTCCTACCTGCAGAATGGGTTTACCTCCTTGGGTTGTCATAGGATTTGGTGAAATCACTCCCTGTGTGGCAGTCAGTATTACTGCCTGGCTTTCTAGCATTTGCTCCCAGTGGCTTAAGCCCTAAGCCCCTGACTTCCCTTCCCTTTTTAGTTTTCTTACTGTTCCCTGGACCAGCCGTTCAGGGGATGTGGAACCTCCCATCATGCTAGCCTCGAACCGTTGGTTCAGTGGGGGATGTTTTTAACGTAGGGGGTACGTTTTCTTGGGGTGTCTGCATTGTCCCAAACAAAGCAGGGAGTGAGACCAGCTGGAACCATGAGAGCCTTTTCATTCTGGCAACTCTATGACTTCATGAAATCCATATTCCTGTCCTTGCAGGGCTACGAACCTGGCTCCATGGTCAGCGAGCAGATCCTTGCCGGAGACCACAATGCTGTGTGCAGGCCCGGCAGTGCCATACCGCCAGGGGGCGCTGCCTGGCTGGGCTCTCTTCCCACTTCTCAAGGAGGCAGAACGGGAAGCCCTGGGTTTGAAGCTCAGACTAGGGGGCTGTGGACAGGCAGACCCGACTTGGAAGGTCTGCCACCTGGCAGGCTGGGAATGGCAACAGGGCTCTTCACATCACTTGGGCCCATGACAGGTTGCCTCCTGTTCCCCTAAATGCCATTCCATCTTATGACTAAGAGGATAATGCCCAGGAAATGAGCTGGGGCTCAGAGAGGCGAAGGGGCTGCTTGCTGAAGGCCACACAACTGGTAAGTGGCAAAGCAGATTCCTCGTAGGCTGCCTGATGCCAACCCTGGGGCTGCAACATCTGACCAGCAGGAGGGCGAAAGG